TCTCAAATATGCTAAGACACTCTTTTTGTAAAACAAGTACTAAACAATACAGAGAAAATCCTTGAGGTTTCATTGGTTTTATTGCAATGAAGCTCTTAAACACAAAGGCATGCTATGCTGATGTTTTTCCCAATGAATGGGGACCTTCTTTTTGGGATTTCTTTGTAGTTAATTTACATTTAATTATATTGTGCTAATTAAAATCATAGGCTTTGGTATTTTATACCAAAGGTCTGGAGAGTTAAACGATTCATTTAAATGACAAATGGCTTACAATAAACCAATTGCCTGTGCTTTCCACCATGTTTGTGGTGGTTAGGTGTCCTGGAGTCAGTACTGATTCATAGTGTCCCTGTGCACAATAGAATGAAATACTGCCCAGTCCTGTGCCATCTACTATATTACACTTGTATTTTATAAAACACTAGCTGAAATGTTTATCAAAACTAAAATGAATGGAGGTCTCACGAACAAAACTGTTCAGCAGTTGGGCACAGTAATAGTATTACATCGATTTCTAGTTCCTCTTCTCCCATTCTCTATTAAATTCATTATAAACAAGTTTTTGCTCCCAATCAATTCACTGAAACTGCTCTTGTTGAGTTACCAGTGGCATCCACACAGTTAACTCTAATAGTCAATTCTCAGTTCTGAAGAGTCCTGCTCCCTTGAAACACTCTCTGCTCATGACTTCTAGGACAACACACGCATACTTTTCTCCTAATTCCCTGACTTCAATTAGTCAGGCTGCTTTGTTGGCTTATCCTTGTCTCTATGATTTCTACACACTGAAGTATCCATCCCAAGGCTCGGTCCTCAGACCCTTCCTATCCTGAGTGGTGTCATCTAATCAGAATCAAATGCTATCTACATATATGCCTTTGAATTCCAAATTTACTTCTCTGACCTAGAAATTCTCTCTCTGAACTGGAATCTCATATATCCAACTGCTTTCTTAATATTTCCACTTGGATGACAAAAGACATGTTAAACTTAAGAGCACGCTAAAACAAAAGCCTCATTTCCCCTCTCCAACCCTGCTTCTCCCTCATTCTTCATCTTAGTATGACCACACCATACTTCTAGTATGCAAATGAGAATATATCTTGTCATCTGGTTTTTTATTTGAGTTTTTCAATCCATTAGCAGATGCTTTTTATCTTAAATATACACACTGACTCCACTGATTTCTAAAAACGTCCAAAGCTACAAACTTGACCATCAACCTCACCTAACTTTATTGCAATAGTCTAACTATCCGCCCTACTTACACCCTTGCCCCACATTAGACTATGAGCAAGCAACAGAATGGTCATGTAAGCACATAGATCAGATCATGTTGCTGTCCTCTTCCAAACCCTAATGTGGCTGCCCTTTCATGCAGAGTAAAAGCCAAAGTCACAGTGACCTATAAGTTCTTTCATGACTGCCTGGTCTTTTCTCTGACTTGACCTCCTAACTTCTCCCAAATCACTCACTGTGCTCCAGCCACATGGTCTTTTCACTGCTTCTTGAACATGTCAGATGCTCTTGTCATGAGAGTTTTTCATTCATTGTTCCTCTGACTGCAAGTCTTTCCCCAAATATCCTAATTGCTCCCTCCTTACCTCCTTAAGGTTCTTATTTAAATGTGACCTGTTCAGTTGGTTTCCCTGCCAACCACACATAATTGACATCTTAATACTCACAGCTCACCCCAAACTCCCTCTTGTCTTTTTCCTGCTTTTAATTTTTTCCATAGCAATTTTCACCATCAGACACACATATGATTTTCTTTATTGCCTAGCTTCCTCTAATAGAATGTAAGCCCCATGAGGACAAGGACTTCTATCATTTTTACTCTCTTTTGTATCTTCAGTGCCAAAAATGAAGCCTGAAATATAGTACATGCGTGAGCGAGTGAGCAAGTGAATGAGTGAATGAATGAGAATTGGCACAAGATATCCAAATGTGGGAACATAATTGTGAAAGGAGAAAATTTTTTGTTTTATTTAAAGCAACTCATTAAACACACTGCCCCATTCTCTTTCCTTCTGTCTCTCCTACCTGATTACTAAAATAAGAGAAAATGAAAGGTAAGTAAGGAAAAGAGCCATCGTCAAAGGGAACCCATCAGCCCTCCTTAATTTGTGTTCTGAGGAAGACAGGAATATAATTTGAGAGTTGTAAAAAGCACAGCAAAAGGCAGTGCATGAAATGTGATTGTGAAGCTAGAAATTCCATCGTAAACACAGTTAGCATCAAAAGGTTGGTTTGACTTTGCAAGACCCCTGTTCTTTTCCAATACCTTCTCCCACTACATGTATATTTCTGATGCTGTTAACCATGCACTGCCTACATGCAGCATACTCTAAATGATTTCATCACCTCTTGGCCCTTTTGCTAGATATTCTTCCTCCCCTAAAACTGTCTCATGTGTGTTTTCATGTTTACCCTAATCCTCACCTCCAAACATATACCTTGTCCCAACTCCTAATGTAGAAGTCCTAAGAAATCATCTGCAAAGCCCTAAATGTTTTTGCCAAAAGCTTTAGACTATACCCCAAATCTGATGTGATAGTAGGTGCCAAAGGGCTTTGAAAAGCTGAAAGTATTTAAAGTTACCATTATAATTATTACATTAAGTCCCAAAATTTGTGTCAATTGTATCACTCTGTCATAAGAATTTAGGGACTATAAAGAGTAAATAAATAAAAACAAGGAGTTATAAAATGTTTGTAGGACATATACCTTATAGATGTTCAAATCCAATTCTCTCATTTTATAGTTTAGGAAACTAAGATTCTGAAAGGCAAAGTAACTTCTCTAATATCTCACAGTAAAAGAGCCAGTCCCCATTCAAGACCCTTTCTATCACTGGAAGCTGATGTGATTAATCAGAACTATAAATGATTCAGAAACTCTTAAGGATTTTACACAAACCCACAGAGAGAAACAGAGAGAGAATGTCTCAGATTCACCCAAAGAATGTAGAATCTGTCAGAGTCAATTAAAAGACTACGTTAAAGATTAGTAGTCTTTTACCTTCTATTTCCCTCAAATCTTCAAAAAGATTTCAAACAAAGTCTTAGAATACAGAAATCATTGGCCACTTCTCTCTACTTTGAATTACAATGGAAACATACTTAATATTTTTACTGAATCATATATACAATTAATTTTATGGAACCAATTTAAGATCATCATTTTCTCATACAATTTAATTTTAAAAAGCTCTAATTTATTAGCCATCTACTATTAACAAGCCAAGTTTCCTCCACTTTGATTCATGATTGCTAAACTATAAGAAAGTCAACCCCAGCAATGTTCAAACTTTCCCATTTTCTAACAATTGGAAGGCAGAACACCATAATACAATTTTCTCAACTTTTTTATCACTTTAAAATATGTTGGTTCCGTTTCCATTTATGACTTGAGGCAATTTCTGTGTTCTGTTTGCAGTGACACAATTTCACAAAAGGGTTTTTCTTTTTTTTAAATCTGATTTGTTTGTTTTGTTTTTGGAGAAAAGCAATTTGTGGTGTTAATTACAGAAAACAATTTTACTTCATTTTAAAATCAATGTCAGATTCATTCAAATAAAAGAAACATCTTTAGGGTTTTTCCAAAAGCATAAGAACCCCAAGCTGCACCACACTTGGCATCTTGCCATTTAATGAATTAAAACATCACAATACATGAGGTGTTTTAGTAAGACAGGAAACACAGTAAATGCCATTCATGTCTTTATTCAAATATAGAAATCATTCCATATTGAATTGATCTAGACTCATGTATACATATATATGATATATATGTATATATTTACATATAGAGAGGAAGAGAAGTTATTTTCATCCTTTGAAGAACATGAAAAACTTCTATTTCCCTCTAAATTTCTCCCAGTGACACTTTCTGAAACTGCTGAAGCCTGCCACATTTAATGCCTAGCAATAATTTGAACAAATGCCAAATTTACAAAGAAAGAATTTGAGATTCTCAGTATCAGGCGCTAGGGAAGAGGTGTGTCAAGGTCTTCTAGAGAAGAGAGAAAATTTCAAAGCAGGAAAAATGTGGGAGAACAGTGGGGGAGGAATTTTTAGAAACCATTGCTTTATTTCTTCAACTGGGCAGCAGCAGCAGCATGTGCTAATGAAACTCAGGTGGATATTAGACAGCAAGCCCTAGGGCTCCCCCTGCTATGTTGCCCTCCCTGACCACAATGAGGGCTCCTATGAGCCTCACAGAAAGGTACCACTTTAAAGAGAAATTGAAAAAAGTAAACAGGATCATATTACAGTGGAGCAGCTGAAATCTATTGCCGAGGGGCAGAAATAAAGTTATTTTGCTTCAACTACCTTTAAAGCACACAGACATACCAAATTACATGCATTTCTACTGGATGAAACATGGACACTATGTGTGAACCTAACTAATAATGCCGTGGTCTAAAGATCCAGTTAAGAAATGAATGGCTTCTCTCTTTTACTTTCATCTCTTCAGTTCTCCTAGAAGCTATTACTTACTACTTCAGTGTGTCTCACACAACAGGGTGCTTTTCCCCTCTTATGTGAGTTATCCCGACAGACTGCTCTTAACCTGGATGTTAGCTGCTGAATACCCATATCCAAATCTGCCTTTTTCAATTAAGCATTTTTAACTTTAAGATGGAAAATCAATTAATTCTCATTTTGATACTATTGCTTAGGACTCTAGGTTCTGGCTTTCTGGTTTTCATAAGTTGACATTTCTATGAGTTGGGGATAGGGGGGCTTGGAGGTAGGGGAACACTGTACAAGCTCCCTAAATAAGCCATTTACTCCACAACTGAGACTTGAATAGAATTCAGAGAGCAAACGCAGATGCAGTGCAATTCTTTGTTACAACTGTATTCGGTTACACTTTTTTTAAAAAAAAGTTTTGTTGGCTTTTTTTTTTTAACTGATACAAACACTTTCACAGCATTAGAAATCATGTAATCATGAGAAATAGCAAGTACAAAGAATAAATATTTCCCTTACCTGGATCATGGAAAGGCACCAAAGCAAAGTTGAAAAGAGGTCTCTTAGGTCTTTTCAAAGATGTCTCCAAAATTTTTGAAGCCCCTTCGATAACCTGAACTAAATCATCATACATAGAACCAGTCACATCAAACACAAAAGCCAAAGTGGAGGCCCCCTCGGGAATTTCCTCGGCCCTGCTCTCAGACTGGGGGCTAGCATCTTGAGCTAGGGAAGAATAAAGAAGAGCGAACAGGAATACTGTGCGGACAATCTCCCAGGAAATCATGTTGTTGATTTTTTTCCCCCTGAGCGCCTAAGCACTGTGTTTAGCACTCCTCAATAACAGGCAGAGGGTTTCCTCTCAGAGTAACTCATTGGACTCTTGAAATCTCTTTGAACTAGCAAAAAAAGTTTGGAGCTGAGAATCAAATGTGTTCAAGTACCAAACTCCAATCCCTCCTAGGGCTGAGCATGGAAGAGATGCGGCAGCTTTTGTCTAGACGCAGCTTCCTCCGGTGGCTCGAGAATGCTATCTGCCCGCGGGCGCTGGGAAGCGTGTCTGGGGGTGTGCAAGCCAAGCGCCCAGTCCATGCCCCGGGAGCAGCTGTGAGCCCTGCGGCGCCGCGGCCAGAGTCCGACTGCCCTCCCAGCTGCCGCCACCGCCGCGCTCACGGCTGGGCCAGCGACTGAGGCTCCCAACTTTCCACTGTTGCAGCTCTAGAGCAAGGAGGGGAGCCCTGGCTCGGCCTCGCCTCCTGATTGGCCAGTTGCATTCCCCTTCCTTTGCTCTGAAGCTCCCCCACCTCTTGAGTGTAACTCCTCTCTCCACGGATTTTAGGGTCAACTCAGTACCCGCGAAGCGCTTACTGTGTCAGCTCCACTCCAACCGGCATTGTTTCTAACCTACAAAACCCTCAGTATAAACAACGACTTTCAAGAATGTGTGGCGAAGACCCAAACTGAGGGACACCACAATAGAGAGCACAAAGGGAATTTTCTTTTCCTGATGTGCACAACGCTGCTTCAGACACCTCTTTCATAATTCTTCCCAGAAGCCAAAACTTCTCAGCCCAGTCTCAGTCCCTCAGCCCACAACTCAGCCCAGCCAGAAGGGGGAGCTGGAAATGGAAATTGCTCTCAACTGGGCTGCAGCAGCCCTATCAGCCTTTGATCTTCTCAGGGCTTACGGAGTTGTAGGGAAGGGAGGGAGGAAAGAGTTGGATGTACAAGGAGCAGGGAGGAAAAGGAAAGAGTTTCTTAAGGGAAGTGAGAGAGACTGCAGGAACTGGGGAGTCTCTGATTGTAATTAGTAAACCTGATAAAGGAGAGGGAAGTTGATGCGAATACAGGATGGAAGCCCACGAGAAAGAATAAGGAGAAAAGAGCAAGATAGAAATGAAAGGGGGGGGGAGGATGAAAATTCATATTATTATTCATAATAATTATTATTATTCATAATAATGAATTAGTACTATTTATATTGAAGAGAAAACTGGTGTTTTTTAAAAAAACTATTATCAAGATTTCTGTGTGCTGAACAGTTTGAATCCTTCCTACCGTTTAGTGAGGCAGAATAATATCCTCTATTTCACATTTCCTGCCATGGAACAGCCATGCGTCAAGTCTCAGCCAAAGATCCATAAAATAGGTGTTCCCTTCTGTGGCATTTTCTTGCCAATAAGTAAGGAAACCTCACCCTGGAAAACATTACAAAGTTTTTCCGTGTTGTAATTACTATATACATTATAGTATTAATAATAGAGATAAGGCAAAGAAAGTCAACCATGAGTTAAGGATACTTTGCTTCAGTTTAATAAAAATTTAATTCCTTCCTGGAAAAAGAATAGTTGTCTAGATACCAGCTTTTAAACAGAGGCAAACAAAGTTATCTTGATCTATGTTCAAAATGTACAGTAGACCACCCATCTGACACAGACATAGGTGAAGGAAGAGCTAGCTCCCATGAGCCTTATGTAGTCAGCAACTGGCTCCCCTTTCATTCTCAGCGGCTGTGGGACCTGAGTTTATTAGACCTATAAGTCATGTCACTTAAAGGAAGCAGACAGGTCATTTGAGTTGAGTAAGAATATGAGAGGGGAGGGGGGACATACTTCCTTTCCAAGGAGTATTTAGAGAATGCAGTCTGAGTAGCCTATTCCTTTGTTTATGTAAAAGGAATGTCATTTTAAGTCATAGAGTTTTTGCTGAGATCTGAGTTATTACAGGTGCTCAAAGTAGTCTGATTAGGTGCTCTGGTTCAGATAACTTCAGTTCAAAGCTCAACTATTACACTAAATACTTATGTTACCTTCTACAAGTTACCTAATTTCTTTGCACCTACCTTTATTTATCTGTAAAATGGGGATAATAATAGTATCTGGAGTCCTGGTGTGGCACTGTAGGATAAGCAAGGTCAACTTGAACTTTTTTTTTTATACAGGGTCGCTATGAGTTGGAACTGACTCAATAGCACCTAACAATAGCAACAATAGCATTTACCTAACAAGGATTAAATGATCTTGAAAATAATTATTTTTGGTTGGAATTTTATAAATGTCAGGTTATTTGATAGTACTTATTAGATCAAGTTATTTAATGGTGGTGGTGGTTATGTGCCATGGAGTCGGTTCTGACTCTTAGTGACCCTATATAGGGTTTCCGAGGCTGTAAATCTTTATGGGAGGAGAAAGCATAACCTTTCTCCCACAAAACCGCTGGTAGTTTGAACTACTAACCATGAAATTACAGCCCGACTCATAACCACTATGCTATCAGAGCTTCCTTAGTTGTTTAATAGTGTTGTTCAAATCTTCTGTCCCCTACTTATTCTATTAGCTTTGAAAGAATGGTACTGAAATCTCTGATTCAATGGTAAATTTGTCTGTTTATCATTGTGGTTCTGTAAGATTTTGCTTCATTCATTTTGAAGTTCTGTTATTAGATGTATAAATTTAGATTATGTTCTCTGATTATTTTACATCTTTAGCATGATAAAATTACCTAATTATCTCTGGTAAGGAGCTCTGGTAGCGTAGTGGTTATGAATAACCAAGCTGCAAACCGCAAGGTCAGCAGTTCGAAACTACCAGCTGTTCTGCGGGAGAAAGATGAGGTTTTCTGTTCCCGTAAAGATTTACAGCCTTAGAAACCCTGCACAGGGTCGCTATGGGTCAGAACCGACTCCACAGCACATAACCACCACCACCACTATTCTTCGCTCTGAAATATATATTGTTTGATAGTAATAGAGCAACTCTGGATTTCTTTTGATTAGTTTAACATGATGCATCATTTTCTATCCTTTCACTTTTAACCTGCTTGCATCTCTATATTTAAAGTGTGTTTCTTGTAGTCACTATACAGTTGGGTCTTGCTTTTTTATCTAATGTGAAAATCTCTGCCTTTCAACTGAGGCATTTAGACCATTTATACTCAGATTATTTGATTGATACACCTACTGCCATCACTATTGACTTCAACTTCCCTGCTTGGCTAAGTGTTACAAAGCTCCTTTAAGCACTTTCAATAAATGCCCCAATCCATTCAAAGTCTCAGCCCAAAGGTACTCAATTCTAGATCCATGGGTCAGCAAATTTGTTCCCCTAATTAAGTGCCTGGGGCACACCCCACTGCACAAATGAGCTTCCTGCCCAAAGGGTCTCAGCTTTCTCAGTCCACCACTCTTCTCTGTTCATGTTTTTGGTTCTGCCTCCTCTGCGGCTACCATTTCCCCACAATTTCTTCACCACTTCTCCAATGTTACAGTCCTCTCTCTCTTAGATTGAAGAAGTTCAACATAGGCATCTCAGAGTTCAAAGGATTCACGCCACTCCTGGCTCTGCTTTCTTACTGGCATTAAAATCCCCTGTTCCTACTTCTGAGATGGCTCCTTTTATACCCAGCTGGATGGCAAAACTTACCGATATCCTTATTAGAGTCCCATGCACATTATTTGTATAATCACAATCATTTGGTGGGAGTTACAAAGACTATGACTAGAAGAACTATATCAAGGAAATTCACTGTGCTGCATCAGCCAAATATGATGGCGGCAGAGAAAGATAGTAGGAGGAGTGCAAGAGTTAAAGGCGACAGAGGTAAATATTGTTATATACACAATCCTGAAATAATGTTGATCTATGAGTAAATGTGGAATCCTGGTGTGGCACTGTAGGAAAATCACTGGACCGTAAGGTCAGCTTGAACTGCAAAGTCGGTGGTTCAAACTCACCAGTCACTCCTTGGAAACCCTACACAGGCCACTATGAATTGTAACTGACTCAACAACACTTAACAACAACAACAAGAATAGATGCATGGATAGACAAGCAGGCTAAATGTACGTGAGAGGGACAGTGAGACTATAGCTATACCTCTATATCTATCTATGTGGAGTACAGAAGCCTGTACAGGGTCCCTATGAGTCTGAACTGACTTGGTGGCACTTAACAACAACAAAATATCTATCTATCTATCTATGCATATTTATATATATATATGTACATCTATATCTACCTGTGTATATCTCTATATCTAACTACATATAGTAGTGGTGGTAGTTATGTGCTATGGAGTCAGTTCTGACTCATAGAGACCCTGCATAAGGATGCTAAGACAGTAAATATTTGCGGGAGCAGAAAGCCTCCTCTTTCTTCTGTGGTTTCGAACTGCTGAAACAAATATGTTTATGTATATGTGTGTGTATAGATATAGATACATATATCTGTCTATATATATCTATATTTGTTGTTGTTGTTGTTACGTTCCATTGAGTCGATTCCAACCCATAGTTAACCTGTATAGGGTTTCCGAGGAGCAGCTGGTGAGTTTGAACTGCCGACCTTGCAGTTCAAACCGACATTGCAGTCCAGCACCTTAGCCCACAGCACCACACCAAGACTCCACAATACTCATTAGTTAGTAGTAGTTATGTGGAGTCCTGGTGTGGCACTGTGGGTTAATGCGTTGGACTGCAAAGTTGGTTTGAACCATAAGGTCAGCAGTTCAAGCTTACCAGCTGCTCCGCAGAAACCCTATACAGGGTTGCTATGGGTCAGAACCGACTCGACAACACTTAACAACAACAAAGCAACAAATTTATGTGCCGTGGGGTTGGTTCCAACTTATAGTGACCCTGTATCGGGTTTCCAAGGCTGTAAATCTTTATAGGAGCAGAAAGCTTCATCTTTCTCCTGAGGAATGGTTGGTAGTTTCAAACTGCTGACCTTGAGGTTAGCCGCCTGACTCGTAATCACTATGCTACCAGAGCTCCTTGCATCTACTCAT